CAGCAAGAAGGTCCTGCAGGGACTGGCAGACCAGGTAAACAAGGAGACTGGAAAGAGTATGAGCGTCGACGAGGTGGCGTACGGATTCTTGACCGTTGCGAATGAGACTATGACGAGACCCATCAGGTCAATTACGGAAGCCAAGGGCCACGATTCTTCCAAGCACCGCTTGGCGACATTTGGTGGTGCCGGCGGACAGCACGCTGTTGCCATTGCCGAGGCTCTCGGTATTCAGCAAATTCTCATCCATAGGTACTCTTCTGTACTATCAGCCTACGGCATGGCACTTGCGGACGTCGTGGACGAGCGCCAGGAGCCCGATTCCAAGGTCTGGGAGTACCCCAGCAAGGCAGTGGACGAGCTGAAGAGCAAGATGGAGAAGCTCAAGGACAAGTCCCGCAAGGCATTACGCGACCAGGGCTTCGATGAGAAGGAAATCGTGTTTGAGGAGTACCTCAACATGAGGTACCGGGGTACCGAGTCGGCGTTGATGATTATCAGGCCCGATCAGGACGAGCAGAAGGACGCAAAGGAATGGGACTATGGCACGGCCTTTATCCAGCAGCACCGTTACGAGTTTGGGTTCACCCTCGACGATCGAGATATTATTGTCGATGACGTGCGCGTTCGCGGTATTGGAAAGAGCTTTAGGCATGCGGAGAAGACGGTGGACCAGCAGCTCAAGGAGTTGAAGCGCACAGATGTGGAGCAGAGCAAGGCGCATAACCGACAGCAGGTGTATTTCGAGGAAGGCCGACTCGATACCCCGGTGTACAAGCTTGAGGACTTGGGCACCGGCGAGACTATTAGGGGACCTGCCATGCTCGCTGATGGTACGCAGACCATCGTGGTTACGCCAAAAGCTACTGCGCTGGTTCTTGATACCCACGTCGTGATTGACATTGAGAAGGAAGGATCTAAACAAGATGGGTATGTAAGATCAAGACTGATTCGAAAGCATGAAGCTGACCTGTGATTATAGGGCTCCAAAGAACCAAGGCGAACGAGAAGTCGACCCGATTATGCTGAGCATTTTCGGTCATCGATTCATGGCTATTGCAGAACAAATGGGCAGAGCACTCCAGAAAACCAGTGTCAGCACCAACGTCAAGGAGAGACTCGATTTCTCCTGCGCCATCTTTGACACGACGGGCGGTCTCGTAGCTAACGCGCCCCATCTTCCCGTTCATCTGGGCTCAATGTCCACCTGCGTCAAGCGGCAAGCCGAAATCTGGAAAGGTGATTTGAAGAAGGGCGACGTCATCATATCCAATCATCCTTCTTACGGAGGTACCCATTTGCCAGACATCACCCTCGTGATGCCGGCTTTCAACGACAATGGCGACAAGATCCTCTTCTACGCGGCCTCGAGAGCGCATCATGCGGATATCGGAGGAATCACGGCTGGTAGTATGCCCCCTCACTCAAAGGAGCTGTTTCAGGAGGGCGCTGCAATCAAGAGCGAGAAGCTTGTTAGCGAAGGACGTTTCGATGAAAAGAGAGTGACGGAGTTGTTGTATAACGAGCCTGCCCAATACCCCGGATGCAGCGGAACCCGCTGCCTAGCCGATAACATCAATGACCTGAGAGCCCAGGTCTCGGCGAATCAGAAAGGTATCGCGCTGATTGAGAGCCTAATTGCGGAGTACGGCGAGGAGACTGTGCAATTCTACATGGTTCACATCCAGAATAACGCTGAGCTGTGCGTCCGCACCCTGCTGAAGGAGGTTAGCAAGCGATTTGAAGGTAAAGACCTGCAGGCGGTGGACTTCATGGACGATGGCAGCCCGATTCGTCTCAAGGTTACTATCGACGCCGACAAGGGCGAGGCGGTGTTTGATTTTGAGGGCACCGGCCCCGAAGTCTACGGCAACGTCAACGCCCCCGAGGCCGTGACGTACAGCGCGATCATCTACTGCCTTCGGTGTCTCATTTCGGAGGACATACCACTGAACCAGGGATGCCTAAAGCCCATCAACGTCAAGATTCCGCCTAAATCGCTTCTGTCACCATCAGACGGCGCGGCGGTTGTGGGCGGCAACGTCCTGACAAGCCAGCGCGTGACGGACGTCATCTTCAAAGCCTTCCAGGCGTGTGCGGCGAGTCAGGGCGACTGCAATAACCTTACGTTCGGGTTCGGCGGCAACGTGACGGGGCAGAAGGAGGTGAAGGGGTTCGGGTACTACGAGACGATTGCGGGCGGCAGCGGCGCGGGACCGACCTGGGAGGGTACGAGTGGTGTGCACACGCACATGACGAATACCCGTATTACCGACTCGGAAGTATTTGAGAGGCGGTATCCTGTGATCTTGAGGGAATTTTCATTGAGGAAGGGGTCTGGTGGTGACGGGCAGCATCGGGGCGGTGATGGCGTCGTGAGGGATATTGAGTTCCGGATTCCTGTGCAGGTGTCGATTCTGAGCGAGAGGCGGGTGTATAGACCGTATGGGCTCGCTGGTGGCGAAGACGCTGAGGCTGGATTGAATGTGTGGGTGAGGAAAGTTGAGAAGGGGAGCTGGGAGAAGTCGTTGAAGAGATTGAAAGGTGCTGCTGGGGAGGCCAAGGGAGATGAGGAGGTGGAGTATGAGGAGCGGAGGTTTAATCTCGGAGCGAAGAATAGCGCGCCTATGAAGCCTGGGGAGAGGATTATCATCAACACGCCTGGTGGTGGCGGTTGGGGTAAGGTTGGGGCTGAGAAGGGGGTTAGTAGCAAGAGGGATCCGACGGATGGATGGAGGAAGGGCAGTCATGCGAATAGGGAGGATACTGCTCTGCAGGTCTAGGAGGGGCTTCGATGGGAATCTCTTAGGATCGTTTCGAAGTGAGCTCGTTTGTATGTAGGTAGGAAAGCCCCAGTCACATTGACCTTGCCGAATGGCTCGGCCTACGTATAAAATAAGGATGGTTGTGTGAATCTTGGTCGCTTTATCCGCAATCAACTTCGTCAGTGTCGGTGTCTAGATTTTGAAGTACGCTATGGTCTTTGACTTTGCAAAGATCACCTCCCTTTGCTCTCCATCATGCTTACACGTCGGTTGGTATTCCCATTATACTTATTAGGAAAGGGGCATCTCCGTAGACCTTTATCTGTCCAGAGCGAGATATTCAATGTGGAATAAGAAAAGGAAGCTGAGGGCCTGTGATGTTTTGATTGGAGTTGAGTTTGCTGGTTTAGGTTGTTTCGAGGTAGAATGAGGTAGCCGCTTCGCGCGTATCGGCAGGTCTCGAGACACTCACTCACACACACAATGATTCCTTTCACATGTACTGCCAACGAATCCAAGTGTGTCCACTGTTAACAGGGAATCCAGAATACCATTGGACTTTTATATCATCACGAGACAAATATTTACTCGGAAGAGTTGAGATATGCGAGCCCTAATTGCTCGCCTTACGGAACCGTAAGCATCAAGAACATGGTCACAGGTTGTATGTTTAGCAATCCCTTCTGTATTCCTAGTCTATCATACTGAGAAGAATATCTCCCAGGGACTACCGACTACTTGTAGTAGTAATGATCCTCCATTCCATCTCTCACGCCCATCGAGGAGTCTCAAGCCTCCATCGCGATTGTGGCAGTAGGCATCTGAGCCTCAGCCGTCGGAGTCGCGGCGGTCTCGAGCAGACTCGTCTGAGTCTGAATAGCGAAGTCCGCCTTGCTTTCAGCAGTGGGCGTAGGCTCGACTCGCTCCTCCATGCTGGGGATGGCGGTCTCCAGTGGCAGGGAAGGAGGTTCAGCTTGTTTGATGCTCTCCTTTGCGGCCTCGTCGAGCATGAGGGGCTCGGAATCTTGCTCATTCTTGTCTTCCACGACGTGGGAGTTGTCCACCTTGTCGGCTCTGTCACCTGTGCGGCGGTTGGCGAAGGATGTAGAGTCTCCGAGCTCGCGGCTCTCAATGAGCTTGAGGGCCGGGAGGGCCCAGTTCCAGGCCACGGCCTCGTCGGTTGGGATGGCCTTGGCTGCGGTGTCTTGGGTGAGAGTGAGTGTGGGCGCGGCCATGGCGGAGCTGCTGGGTGCTGGAGTGGCCAGGGTGCTGAAGGTGTTGCTTATGGTTGGGACAACCAGAGCCGGGGTTTCAATGGAAGAGGGAGCAGAAACGTTCTCCTCTTCTTTGATGTTGGAACCGTCTTCCTTGCCCTTGATGTTCGACTTCATGGGGTCGAGGGCGGTTGCTGCCCAGTTCCAGTTCATTGCCTCAGATGGGACGTTGTCCGAAGAAGAGGGTGCAGCAACGGCGATTGTAGAGGAGCTGCTAACGACTGAACTGATAGTAGGAGTGGGGGTAATGCCAGTAGTGGTGGGAATAGCCCCGACTGGGATAGCGATGGCTGAGGTTGCGGCAGCAAGGGCCAGGGTGAGGAAGTAGAAAGTGGAAGTCTGAGAAGGCATCTTGAAGACTTTGGTTGGTTGGTTGTTTTTTTGGAGTTGGGTATGTAAGTCGATGAGTTGTGGTAGTGTGTAAGTGAGAGATGATCGATCAACTTGAACAAGATATGTGATGTATTGGGTTGAGAGACTGATGAGATTCTGTTCCCTGAAGGGACTTGGGCTCGTTTATATAGCTTTCTGGAAGAAATATTTCGGAGAAAGCTTTTAGGAAACCGCAGAGTCACGAGAAGGACCGCAAAATGTTATCCATCATGGTGTTTTAACGGAAGTTTATCGGTGAATTCCAAGGGAAAGACACAGGGGTGCGGGCAACGGTCGCAGATGCCAGGGCAAGGTTGAAATAACATGTTGAGCCAGAAACGTTTAGCCACATCAGAGCCGTTGCTGAATGGCGGAGTTTAAGGTACATATCGCATCGTGGAAACATCTCGAAGCCTGGGGATAAGTTCCTCAGACAGTACTCAAGGTCAGGTCAGGGAACGTGGCTGCACATGCGAAAGACCATCATCTCAAAAACCTTGAATCGTCAAAATGACGATGAAATCAATCTCCATTAATTCCTACAAAATGAAACTCCAATCCGCCTGCTGTGTTTCCAGCACTACGCACCTCATCTGGGCAACTCGCTGTCGGTCCGAGGTGGCAACGGTTTGCGTCTAATTCCTGCTGAAACCACCTCTATGCTCGCGGACCCCTGATCTTCAGGACCGTCTCCAACGGTGCTCAAGCTGGTGTAGCTGGTTGCAGCCACTGAGTTTCTCGAAGAACCGGAATGTACTTGTGCTCCAGTAGGTGCTGATGGTGCTATCCTTTCTTCGTTGTGAACGACCTTGTACTGGTCGTCTATTCGCTCGCCAACCCCGCGTTCAATGCCAACTGAACTTGAAGTCAATCATTTTGTCAAGCCTCAAAACCTTCACGTAGTATTGTGCTTGAGCAACTCACAAATGTTGTAGTAGATGTACTTGGATAGTACTGGCGCCCACACTAACACCGCAACAACCTGGCCGAATGTCCATTGCTTTTTACTGCTCATCGTTTGTCGAACAAGATGGTCTACTTGATATACATTGGCAACAATGAACATAGCCATTGTTATCACCAGACAAAACCACAAAGCTTTTCCGAAGAAGGACGAAATTTTGAAAATCCAAGAAGGTATCTCAATTTTGCGTTCTTTGAGAGTCGAAGCCATCATCTTGCGCAGATGAGGGATATGTCCGAGATAGTCCACGGTCAAAAATATCATGATTGCCATATAAGCGCGAAAGTAGTTGCTCTTATCACTAAGGGTTGAAGTTCCATAGTAAGAGTAATCATCTGGACCATATTGTATACACGTTTGTAGGATGCTACGCTCTCCGCCGCAGGCCCGAAGCTGCAGAGCGGGATCCTGGGAAGATGACGGCGCCGGGAGGTTGTGCATCTGGATGATAGCACACAAGATGTAGACGATGGTTGTCAGTATGAAGGTGTACCACCAGTACATCCCCCTCCGCTGCATGATAGCCTGTGTGGTGAGAACCAGCAGCGTATTAGCGGTGGCGAAGTCCTTGGCGGCGCTGAGGTCGACTCGGATCGCAAGAGACTCGCTGTTCATGAGAACCATGATAAGGGTTGCCGTCTCGATCGCCATGACGAGAAAGGTCTGCGTCTCTTGGAATTCGATTATGGCCGAGTACAAAGCCACAGAAAATCGAGTCGAACGCAGACGTGTCAATGTCGAACGAAGGCTGTCCACTTCCGGATCCGAACGTCGGCGGAATTTTATGTAGTGCCATCTGATCCAGCTTTTGAAGAAGCTGAAAATGGCAAAGAATGTAGAAGAGTCAGGCTCGTGAGGTAGAATGCCGCAAAAGATGAAGAACCAAATGCTTAGGGCAACCTGTATGTAGTATGATACAGCAATCTAGGCGGTCTTGTTAGCACAATTATTTCGCGCGTCAGGTCAGTGGCTTCTCTTACCCCGGGTCCAGCAATATCAGCCTCTGGTTCCTTTGTCAGGACGGAACATAGTGACTGGAGGGTACGCAAGACCTCGCCCAGATTCTCAGTCACCACCTGATCCTGTGTGAGATCTATGACTTTCGAATCGCAATCTCCTAAGGTGTTGTTTGTACAAGAAGCTTCGGCACAGCCGACAATCTGTCGTATAACCCGTGATGCATTGAAAGCCTCCAGAGAGCCATACTGAACTTGGGGGTTTGCATCTTCGAACGCTTTGTCGACGAGGAAATTGTGAGTCTGCACTAGGAACGCAGAAGCTGCAATGACAGCGCACCCGTAGAAGTTCCTGGCGTTAGGAGCAAAGAGAAATATCGGATTGTAACAATTGTTCTGAGCGTCGAGTGGCTCAGAGCTCTGATTCCATGACATTGGAAGCTGGACATGAACGGAAGAGTCCTTTGAATCATAGATATCGTACACGGCCATCGGCCATTCTGCTAGACCACCCGATGTATAACTGTCGCCCCATCCCAGCGTCAGGGTGTGGTTAGCTGCCATATCTAAATGCTTTGCCGTCCGTTCGCAAGGCGATGAGAAAAGAGTTTGTTAATTGATTGCAGTTAAAATGGCGTAACATAGGCAAAAGTCGTCAAACTGAACTCGCACCTTGCCCTCTGCCACACACCGCTGATCTGGTCTTTCCGACTGAGGAGCCAGTGTTCGAAGTTTTGACATCTCAGGATGTTCATACAACAAAGATAAATATCCATGGGCTCAATCAGTGGCAACTTTATGCCAAGGTCGCGCAGATGTTACGTTCCCTCCAAATTCCACCCCCCCTTTGCGAATACCAACGCCGTCAGGCTACGTGCTTACTTGCATACTGTATGCGTCGCACGACGCAGGATCACAGCCAATAAGCACCCGAAGGAATATCGTCAAAATCAGGCTGTGGGGGCCAAATACGCCATCATTCAATGGTCTAAGGAAGGGAACCTTGGCTGTATACCAGGCAATGAATAATTATTTTTAACAACATCATTGTCTCACTGCCACTCACTTCGGCATCGTCATCTCAGCCTTCTCGGGTGCCGCACAGGCATCCGCAACTCGAGAGATTCATGTAGCACACGGCTGCGAAACTTCCCAGAAGAAGATCTACTAAGTCGCATGGAACCAGTGTGGTAAAAATGTGTCCAATACCGGGTAGTGAGTGCTCAAGCTAGGCTCTCTCGGGTCAGTAAAGCTCGCTATTGCATCACAATAATTCTACCAGAAGATTTAATAGCTAGAGGCGTAAGCTGTCATTACGATAGGACTAAAGAACGTCTAAAATCAAGTTCTTACCGTGTGAGCTTGTAAAAGATTTGAATAGGAAGACATGAGACTGCTTGGATTGTTGGGCACTGAATGTCTCGGGTCTGAAATCGCGAGTGTCTGTCGGACGATGATGAGTTGACGCGGGAGTATGTGATTAATTAGCACCCGGCACGTCACCGCATCAAGAGGCTCTTATACCGTCCTACATCTTTTCTGTAGACTCATTTAAGCCTGTTGTGTTGGTGTTCGTAAGCCACGAGGAGGATTGACCGTGATGCTGCGACTGTACTGGAAGCAATGCAAGAAAAAAACACCCCCCAAAAAAGTCAAAAAGGAAAGGAAGGGAAGGGAGCTGGTGATCACTTACGCTAGAATTCACGCCCCTGTCCGGACTCGAACAGCGCGCCCCTCGGACCAGCACGGCTTCATTGGAGTATTTGTTTTGGCTTCTCTGCGTCAGAGTGTAGACCACCCGGCCAATCGGCCGGGTGGGTGCTGGTGACAGGAGAGGTGAATAGACTCCTTACATATTATGGTGGCCAGCCTTGTTCGGGTGAGGGAGGGGGGGGAGGGCAGGAAAGGGGCGTTGAAGTGGAAGGAACGAGCGAGGTGAGGCTTTTGGGCGGATAGGAGTTATATGGAAAGAGAAGACGACCTCACTTTCACCTTGACGAGCATGAGCTGCGTCTTTGGTTACTCCAAGGCAAGGTGCCTTACTTTCCATAGTTCAGGCCAAGTGGCTGGTTGTATAGCTTCCTTTGTCTTCACGTATCGAACCTTGATCTTGCATACCTTACGTATATCAACTTACAAATATCTACCCTTCATTCACCTCCCGTCGTCCCTCAGCCCAACCCTCATCTGTCCCTTACCGCCCCTATTCGACCGAAAGTAAAACGGCACAAACACAAGCTCCCTCTCCACCCCATCCCCGCCCCTCGCCAGAACCTCAGGCGACCGTTCCCAGCCCGTGGTCTTCAACGCGAAATACCCCTCCCCGCTCTTCTCGTCAACCCTCCACGCCTCCTCCACGGCCGTCCCCCTCTTGATCCCCACGTCCTTGAAGTGATTCTCCTCCCACGGGTGATCGGCGTCCTCGACGCAGTACACGATCGGTCCCCTCGCCAGGCTGAGCGTGCGCTGGTTGGTGTACGGATGGGGCGCGATGTACCGCGGCGCGAAGCCGGCGCCGCCGACGTCGAGCGAGAAAACCGGGTTCGAGGCCGTGTACGAAGGGTCTAGGCGGAGGTAGCCTCCCTTTTCGAGCGTAGCTGTCCCCGTCGGTGGTGTAGGCGTGAGGACGTGGCCATGCTGTATCGCCCAGGCTGGGATACGTAGTCGGATCGTCGCACTGAGAGAGTCTGCGCCCTTGAGCTGGAAGAGCATGTTGCCTTCCCACGGCCAGTTGGACTTTTGCGAAAACGTGACCTCGGCGCCGTCCACCGGGAACTTCACCTCGGCGCTGGTATACAGATGGACATTCACAAACACCCCTTTCTTCCCCTCCTCACCCACACCACTCCCACCCCCATAATCCCAAAGATACCCGCCCAAACTCCCAAACAGCCTCGTCACATTCGGCGGGCAACAAGCACACACAAACCAATCTTCCCTCTCGCTCCTCGCCGCCTCGCAACTCGCGAGCTGATTCTCGTACGTGAAGGCCTTCCCGTCGGCGCTCATGGCCGTCATGACGTTGTTGTACAGGCACAGCTCCATGACGTCGGCGTACCGGCCGTCCGGCTCCGGCCCGTCCGCGTGCAGCAGGCGCTCCGCGAGCATCATCACCCCGACCGAGGCGCACGTCTCGGCGTAGCAGCCGCCCTCGTCGGGGCCTTGCGGGAGGAAGTAGTCGATGCCGAAGCCCTCCCACTGCGCCACGGCGCCGACGCCGCCGGTGAGGTACATTTTCTTGTCGACCGTCGAGGACCAGAGGCGTCGGAGGGCGGCGAGCCAGGCCGGGGCGGCGGTCAGGGGTCGGACTGGAGCCGTGCTGCCGCTGCTCTCCCGTGAGGTGTTCAAGAGGTCGGCCGCCGCGGTGAGGAGGTACATGGCCCTCACGGCGTGCCCCTCGACGGACGCCTGCTCGAGGATCGGGGCGTGGGCCTGGCAGTACCAGTACGACCTGTCCATGGGCCACGAGTTGGGCCGTTTCCAGCGCGGCTCGTCGCGCCGCTCCATCTCCCAGTCGTAGTAGTGCTTCCCCTCCTGGCCCGTCGGGTTCCCGCGCTCCTCGAGGAAGAAGCGCGCGAGGTCGTAGGCCTCGGTGTTGCCCGTCGCCGCGTGGCACCGCAGGAGGGCCAGCTCGATTTCCGGGTGGCCCGGGTAGGCTCGTATCTGGCCCTCGCCGGGGCCGAAGCGGCGGTGGATGTGGGAGATGTACTTTTCGAGGGGTCCCATGAGGAGGTCGTTTCTGTAGTATTGTCTGTGGGCCAGGGCTGCTTCGATGAGGTGGCCGGCGTTATACCTATATTTACCTTGTGAGTCTCATTCTAAGTTGAGTTGCGTCGAGTGAAGATTTACATTTCATGCATGTCACGAATATTCGTCCACCTCTTGCCCGGCTCCACGACGGAGAAGTGAACGTTGAGGTACCCGTCCTCGTGCTGCGCGCCGCGGATCATGGCAACGAGCTCCCGCACGGCGGCGTCGACTTCGACATCGTACTCTTCCACGAGGAAGTAACACGCGCCCTCGATCCACTTGGCGACGTCGCTGTCCCAGAAGAGGTGCAGGGGCGCGGGCCAGCGCGAGCGGTCGTCGTAGATGGGGTGCCAGCCGAGCTTGAAGCAGTCGTACTGGCCGTTGGCGCGGAGCTGGGAGAGTTGGGCGTGGACTGTGGTGCGGGAGACGGTGGCGCGGCGGGTGCGGAGGAGGGAGGGGGCTGTGAAGGTCGTTTGGCGGAAGGTTGTTTGCGGGTGGGACATGGTTTATCGTTTTCTGTCCGGGGATACTGTTTAGGTGGAGTGTGGGTTGAGGTATGATGGGAGGGGCGAGGACTCGAAGATGTCACGATGTGTGGGAGAAAGTCATGAGGAAGCCCCTTGGAGAGAGAGAGAGAGGGTCTTGGCGGACGTCGAGATATAAATGAGATGGCGGATTGGGTATCGAAGCTCTGATGGAGCAAGGATGTAACCTCGAACTTGAGGTGCTTAGGATCGCCGAAAAAGGAAAGTCGAACTGATAAGGACGATGCGAGGTAGTTTCGACAGCGGAGTTGATCGGTGAATAGGCTTGGATTCAAGGAAACAGAGGCAGACAAGTAAGGATAAGCGTGAAATGGCTTAGCTGGAACTGAGCTCTTGATCAGGGCAGACGAACTTCACTAGAGGCTCAGTCCAGATACGAGACATGGGACCAACCAGACGAAGCCTTCCGTCCCGGATTCTGAGTGAGTGACGGCCGATCTCTTGTGCGGGGTCAAGTGCGCCGGCCGGGCCGTCCGTCCGGGATCCGGCAAGCTGCCCGAGATTTTGGGGTTCCCAGGATGTGAGATAGGCTCACCGCGACCGATCTGAGATATCGGGTCAATGCCGGCCGGCATGTACTAGATTGACTTGAGAGTTTAAAGTATGGCCGAGTTGCCGGTGATCTGGTAAAGACGCGCGAACGCGAGACGCAAAGAATTTGAACACGTAGTTTTCATGACGGTCATTAAATTTCAATTGGTAGTGTGGTATCTTAAAAGAGGTCATCAATCGCCTTATCGGCATCCTTCTTGATGAGATCAACCATGCCCTGGAGAGATGTCAGACTCGCACAGTTCTCATCTCATGGATTTTCTCGCAGAGGAGGTATCGGGATGGGAAAAATCTCAAAACTCACCTCTGGCATAATGGGCTGGCCGTCCTTATCCGTGACATACTTGAAGGGCATCTCGGTGCTCTCATGCTCACTGAACTTGAGCTCGGGGTATGTGACGTAAGGAATCTTGTCCAGCGATGCTATTGTCACCCGTGAGCATCTCACTGAGTTATGCGATACTAGGAGAAGGGTGGTTGGCACGTACTCTTCTCCTCGACAACGATTCTCGTGACGCGGACTGCTGTGTCAGTCGTCATCTGGGTGGGACCCAGGCGTCTGCCTTCGAAACCCTTCTTCCTCAACTCGGAGGTGCGGTCTGCAGGGGTTAGCGAGAAGGGGTTTGACATTTATGTGACCAAGCCAAGGTCACGAGTGGAATGGTAAGGAATAGTATACCTCTTGGGGGGTCATCGCCTAGAGAGAGAGAGAGGGAA